TAGCTCACACTTAGTCCTTGTCTTTGGGGTAAACTAACATAATTAGGTTACCTTGTCTGTTAGCTGTAACTATAATCGTATCTGATTATTTTTATTATTAATATATAAACAGTAATCTAAAAATGCATTCAGTGATTTATATTTATATCTGTCTTACTTGAATACACAAACACATAGATATATAGATATAGATATATAGATATTCATTATCTTGTTGAAATCTTGGAAATGTGGATGCTCTTTTCTTCAGTGGAATTGAGTTTGCTGTATTTAGTTGAGTTACTGACATGTGTGGTTGTTAAAACCTTTTAGCTATGCCATCCAATGATAGATAGGAGTAGGACTGTCATCGAGCTAATCTAAGTGCAGAAAGCTGTTATCTGTCTATTTCAGTGAATAAAAAAACTGCTCTGTTCATAGACCACTCTGATAAGCTCATATTAGAGTAATGTCAGATTTTCTTGTTTAATGGGTAACTTTCTCAGCCATACATCTTTCCTTTTTTATATTGCTTAGTTCCCTTTTCTGGACAATTCACCAACTGTGATAACAAAAGTTTTGATGTGAAGGATTCCAGAAGATAGACACTAAGCTATTGTCACATGCTGTAAGTACGCTAAAAGGTTAGGATTTTAATCATGCTGTGAAACCCACCTTCTTGACTTTTTTTGTAACATCTTTCCCAACTATCTCCAAATAAGGCTTTGCGTAACAATTGTTATGAAATGGACATCTCTGTTCACTTTTAGATGTCCCTCCATATGCCTAATTTTCAGTAATACCTCAGGATCTATTGTACTTCCCTTATATTCTATATGTCTAAAATACAGTTTTTGCTTTGACAATCCCTGCGCTTTCTGCAGCTGGTAAAAAATACTGCATGGCCCAGAATAATTCATATCTTGACCAATGTCAAAAGCAAATGTAATAACCTATAATGAGACCAAGTTTGAGTTTGGTGGAGTGATTAATGGAACTGGGGTAGAAACCAGAACACTGTGAGTTTTGTGCCTGCCTTAGGCACAAAGCCAGCTGGGTGACCTTGGGCCAGTCATTTTCTCTCTCTCAGCCTTAGGAAGAAAGTGATTTCAAACTATTCTTAACAATCTTGCCAAGAAAACTGCATGGACTTGTCATGACTAATTGATAGTACATAACTAATTGACAGTAGGGTTTAACTTGACTTGAAGGCACAAAAATATTAAGACCACAACACTTGCAAACACAAAGCCTCATTATCCTCTCTTCACTTTCTAGAGGCATAAAGGGAAGCCAGGGCCTGTTCTGGCTTGGCTTAAGATAAGACAGCCCATTTGTAAGTCTCAGTTTCATGAAGAATCATATAAATGGTGTAAAATGCAAAGTGCTTGCTTTCAGTTTTAGGGGTCATTTTAATTAAATTCTGAGATAAGTGAAAGTGCTCTATCCAAAAGCTGAGTTAACAAAAATTGAAATTTGGAAGTTAGGAGTGGTTTTCTTTTTCAGGAACTTTGGCTGGATTCAGCCCCCGGGTCTTGACAGCCCTGCTATATAGCTTTCCTCAAGTTGAATTCAACTCCTAGTGATCTCGTGTTATGTTTTAAGGTTGTGATTTTTACACAGAGAATGATTGTGTAAAAACAGTGCCTCTATATTCCAACCTAAATCTTTTGATGCCAGATGTAGTACAAAGTGACTTTTCTTCTGCTGGTTCTGGAAAGCTCTTAGGACTCTCTGCAGACTTGCATGATAGAGTCCATTTCAGCTCACACACAATCAGCAAACTTTCAGCATTTGGGTCATCTTTTCACTTTCATTCCAACATTATTGATGAAAATAGCTTGAGCTAAAGGAGAAATTCAATTTCTCTTGCTGTAAAACAGCTAAAAGGCAACATAATCTTAAACATCTCTTTCTGTGTGTATTAACTCTTTTTTACTATATTAATACTTTTCTTTTCAAGCTTCTTTAATAAGAAATTGAATATCTTTGACTCTTGCATTATTTTTTAAACAAAACTATTTCAAAACTTTTCCTGCAAGTCTACACATGTAAATGTATTTTTGGGATGGAATCTTCCTGAGGTGGCAAACCTAATATAAAAAAACAGTACATAAAGCAGTAGAACAACCAGCAAGGTCAACAATCATGAATAACAGCATCCAAAATGTAATTCAAGAAGAAGCCTATAAAATCATCACTCATTTTTTTTCTGAAGCCTACAAAAATGGGCCTGATTAACTGCTAGCAGAATTTCATAGATGTAGAACTTTCCAACTCAGTGATCTAAAATGATCTTGGTGACAGGCAATTTGAATGGGGCCTCTGCTGAACATCTCAGAATGCATGAGGCTGGATGAAGATGATGGCATTTGGGGGTTCTGCTTTACACCCATATTGAGCGATTTTAGTGTAGAGGTCCACCTGTTAAAATCCAGGAAACTCTGAGTTCTTGCTGTAGACACAATACTACCTTGGTTGACCTTGGGCCAGCCAGTCTCAACTCTAGGAAGTAGGCTCTGTGTGTGTGTGTATTCCTACAGAGATAGTATTCTATAGATAAAAATGTATGAGTTTGTGTATGCAAGAGCAACCACAAGTTTATGAATCATTCGCTTTATGATAACGTACATGTTTCCAGACGCTTTGTTCTTTTGGGCAATTTTAGAGCAATATCAAGTTTTGTACTACCGGTAGGTTGGCATTATTTATGAGTTAGAATTAAAATCTTGTAGGATGGCAATTCTGCTTTATCTGCTTGGGGTTTCTGAATGGGGTTTTTATTGCTATTAAGTGGAGACTCACCATAGGTGGGTTAACAGGAGACTTCCAGAAGATTGCTTGTGTTGCTGACCTTTTGTCTTCAAACGATAAATTCATTTACCCCTCTCAATAGTGCTGAATAGTGCTATAACTAGATGCTGATTGTGCAAATACCATTGTTTTTAGTTTTTTTGTTAGAAAGCAGTGATTGGCCACACTTTTACAACAGAATGCATAAAAGGAATCAATTAATTAATCAACTGAATTAACTAAGAAAGCAAAAGCTTAGTGAGGCAGTAAGAAGCTAATTGTCTAGTATGCATTGGCAATGAAATCCCTTTCTTTTTGCCAGATGTTCATTTTTAAATGTACTTCCCTGCTTATCAAGACTTAGCAGGGATCAAAAGTCTGAAAGCCATGGAGATGTGCGGATCAGGAATGGCTTGGTGATAATTCACTGTACAATATTATAAATCAGACGCCTAAGATAACAAGAGCAATACAAATTAGCATTTGAAGGAAACAAAAAAAGCAGTATTGGTTATTCTCACTATTGTTCTTTCATGCCTACAGGAAATCAAGCTTTCTACATGAAAAGCCCTTAATTCTGTAGTACAATAACACATAAAGCAGTTAGAAGACACATGATCTAAGGGATAGATTATATTTTAGGCAAAAAAAAATTAATAGAAGCATGCAGGCTATACTGCAAGGGAAGGCAAAGACTACCAAGTTGAATAGATCCTACCATTCATTGAAACAGAAGAATTATTTGAAACAAGAATTAAAAGTATAACCTGCATGCTTCAATGTATGGCGGGATCTATTCAACCTAGTAGCCTTTGCCTTCCCTTATTTTAGGCTGAACTATCTATCAGGAATATTTTAATTTCTGTGCTGAGCAGAAGGTTGAACTCAGTTGCCTTAATGGCCTTTCCAAGTCTATCTAATCAGCAGGAAATATTTATGTGGAAGTCCTGAGAACTCAGGACAGCTGATGGTTTTGCAACAAACATCTGGTTTTTTTAAAAAAAATTCATTTTGGAATTTTTAATTCTAGCAGAAAACGAAGTACATTTCCACAAGGCAGAAAATATTTCCTCAATAATTTCTAATGCTCACATTTACAATGAAATTGTTCTTGTTTCTTAATCAGTATCCATTATAGTGAAGGTAGATGGCATACAGTTTATAAGTGGTTGTTGAACTGATTGTAGCTTGATAGATGTTTTTAGATTGGTGAAGAGGCAGTAATATTGTATTTTACATCTTAGGCTTCTGGGAAACCATGCTTGTCTTAGAGGCAACTGAGGCTTCTAAATCTGACCTCTAATTTTGGGTGCCCTTTGCCTTACTGCGAACAATTTGACATGAGCCTTTAATAGATAGAATAGATTTGAGAAATAATTACTTTTTAAAAGAGCAGCCTAATGCTTGAACTTCACTTCTTCATGCATTCCTTGCATTCTTGATTGAAATGTGGAGGGAAGAGAGATTAATCGTTGACCTACTGCAAAGAAAACACATTCTTTGGTTCTATAATTGGAAGACTCCTCCAAACCCCACATCACTGACTTCAGACACGTTCCAAGTACTTTATTGAAAAGGAGAGTGGTGTATCTGTCAATTAGTCTTGTGAATAATATTGGAAAGACTAAAGGGCTCATTTTTTTCTGCAGAACTTGGTATGTCAAAAAATATAGAAGCGAGCATTGGAAAATCGTTGTTGTTGGGTTGTTGTTATTTTTTTGGTCATGAACATTTTTGCAATTGCATAACTATTCTGAGCCCACACCAGCATGAATTCCTTCCATACTTTCATGGCCTTGATTTCTGAGAGTAGAAGTTCCTTATGATAGCCTGTTAGGGCCTGGAAAATTCCATAAGGAAACAGAGCCTTTTCTGGTAGGTTTTCTAGTTTGCCTGCATCTAAGGTGCAAAGATGAGATGTTTTGTATATTTTAAATTATTTACATTTCACCTTCTGCCAAGCGTTCTATGTCACTTACAGGGAGTTCTATAATGCCTGTGACATTAACTCCTTTCTTTGTCTGGAAATGGTCCTGATGAAACTGATGAAAAAGCATTGCAACAACCAGGCAGGATTCCTATATCAGGAGTTCTTGTTTTTGCAGCAGAATAGGTAAAGAAGCCGTGTAGGAGATAAGGGAAATAGCATTTCAGTAACCACTAGTAAGCATTTCCCCCTTGTTCTGTCTTCCTGGAGCCTAACATCCAACAAACATTTTCTATTTCAGCCCTTCTCGGCCTCTCGTTAACATGAATGATGCTATGGTTACACATGTGTCCTCGGGAGCCCCCACGCCAACAAAAAGGTAGGAGTACTTGGGGATGGGTGGGTGCTGTAGGTCTTCTTAGGAGCCTCAGTGGCGCAGTGGTTAGAGTGCAGTACTGCAAGCTACTTCTGCTGCAGCCAGCTGCCTACCATTTGGCAATTCGAATCTCACCAGGCTCAAGGTTGACTTAGCCTTCCATCCTTCTGAGGTGGGTAAAATGAGGAGCCAAATTGTTGGGGGCAATGTGCTGACTCTGTAAACCGCTTAGAGAGGGCTGTAAAGTACTATAAAGAGGTATATAAGTCTAAGTGCTATTGCTATTCTCTTTGAGGTATCTGCATTTTGAGGAATTGCTGCACTGAACTCAGGTATTTGTTTCTAGAAAACAAAAATGTATTTGAGGTTTTGGGTATATTCTAAAGCCAGTTTTGAAACACTAAGACTCTTCCTTTGGATTTACTACTGCATGTGGAAATGCTGACTGTGGAATAAATCTTTGTTTTGACACTTTGATGGGTTCCCCGCTCCCCCAAATGTATATAAGTAAGATTTTTTTTAACATGAATCAATTAGGATTTGATGGAAGAAAAAGTAGAGCTTCCTGCAAGCAGAAAGTTCTCTTTACTGCTCCCTGACTCTATTTGCAAGGCTTTTATTAATATTATCGCATTGCCTTTAGAGTTCTCAAACTGAACCTAAAACATGTTCAGTTTACAAAAAGAACCGAAGGCACAACAAACCTTGAGTCTGTTTAGCAAGAGTGTGTGTGTGTATGGGGTTGGGGGGGACTTTTTCTCGCCTATGCTGAAAAGATGTTACCTACTTGCCAGCTATGCATGCTCTCATCATTGGAAAATCACATTTTTATCTGTTAGATTTAAGAAAACCATTGAAAGTGAATGTTCGCCTGCTGCTGACTGAAAGGGCTTCCAACTGAAGAGGAGAAAAACATTTTTGACAATTTCTGTCTCTGACAGAAATTGTGTAATGCATCTATTGTGTAATGCATCTATTGTGTATTAGAGACCTTTCCTTCTTGTGTGTGAGGAAAGTTCAGTTGTACCTTCTTTTTAAATTCCATTTATTATTTACTGTTAAAATTTATTGGCTGCCACAGGGCAACTGTGAGCAACTTTTTATTTATATTTAATAATTAAATATTATTATCTAATATTATTTAATAATTTAATATTATTTAATTATTTAATAATTATTTAATAATTGCACTAAGACAAATTTCACGCATGTCCAATCACACTTGGCCAATAAAGAATTCTATTCTATTCTACTATGAAGAGTTTCTTGTTTTCCTGTTTGTGTAAATAATATATTTCTTTTTTATTTTCTCTTATATAAATTTAATTTTTAAAGTTTAACCTGTATAGGGTAAATATCACTTGTTTCTTAACTTGCCTGGGTAGAGTGGCTACTGTAAATTAGACATAAAGGACTATAGCAATTCCTATATATTATAGTTAGATGGCATGAACTGCATTAATTTCTGCCACTTCCTAGGAGTTGAAGGGACAAACACTGCCATTTTCAATTCTGTCCTGCTTAAAGAGTGCCTGCTAAGAAGCTCCACCAACCAGGATAAGAAGACCTCATAGTGGAAGCTTCCTGAAGCAACCCCCCACCTCTGAAAATGCTCCTTGAAAACACATTAATCTCCCAAGGATTCTCCCTTCAGAAGGCCTTGAGAGATTAGTAATGTTAGCACCATCACTATTTACAACTTTATAATTTCTGAGCTTAGTATTCTTAGCTTAGTATTCTTAGTTCATTCTTAGTTTATTCTGATATACAGAATGCCCTGTTCCTAATAGAATCCAGCTGGTTTCAGGTAGTTAGATTTGTTTGATTGATTGATTGATTTGATTTTTAGGATAAAATAAGTGGGCAGAATTTTAGGAGGAAAGTAAAGGGGCTGAGAGAAATGCTATACAGCTTCATCTCAAGGAAGGTAGAACAGGATTTTGGTGAATTTTCAGGTCACTTCAGTTATTTGATTCTGTGGCCGACAGGCAAGAACACACAAACAATACAGTGATAAAAATTATCAAAATATCCGGCAAACATAATTCTCTAATCATAAAACAATAGTGCCATATATAATCAAAATCAAAAAGTCATCATACTCTAGTGTCTTTGACCGCCCTCAGTTTAGTCTCCAAAAGGCATGATTTTTAAAGCTTCCGGAATGTGAGAGTGAGAACATGGTTCTTCTATCTGCTGGAAGGGCATTCAATAGGAGGAGCCCTTCCATAAAAAATACTCCTCTCTAAGTCCCCTCTCCACACATCACCCAAAGAGTGAAACTATCAGCAATTCCACAGGCATGCCACGGGCAAGCAGATCTTGTTTGGCATAAGCTATTTCAAAGGTAACCAGGACCAGTCAGAGATCACCGGCTTTTTTTTTTTTAATTGCAACCAGAAATCATATGCACAATGTTCCCAGGTGGACTTCTGAAGACTGCATCCGGGTTTGTTTGGCACACACAGTACTGAACATTTCAGAATTGTATCTTAGCATTAATTATGATACTCAGCACTTGGGTGCTCTTATACGTAGAGAGCCCATTGTGGAAAAAACTGCATTTACTGAAGATACATGATTTGATCTAAGCACCAAAACACATACAGAAGACTGGAGCAATTAAATCAACCTGGACTGATCTTGAAAAGGTTAAGCAGGGTTGGACGAGATTTATTTATTTATTTATTATGCTACCCATCTCTCCTACAAGGTGACTCTGGGCAGCTTACAAGTTATAAAACAGTAAAATATAATTAAAATATTAAAACATTAAAATTACACAGATTAAAATATTATTAAAAGCTGTACTAAAACCGAAACTAAGAGAGCTGCTAAGAGACCAACCAGATTGGTGTTTGAACAAAAAATATCAAGAAATCCTAGGTTTTCTACTAGACTAGGAAGTTGAAAAAAATCAGGAATAAATGCAATGACAAAGTATTTCTGAACTGTTGCCAAGAAGACTATTTACACTTTTTGCCCTGTCATCTCAAACCACCTCTGAATTCTATGCCAAAACTCTTGGGCATAGAACTTTTTCTACATAATATAAACTGGAATTTTTCTTACTCGGAATCATAACAGAAAAATACAAAAAAGAGGTGATCTATTTAATAATACACGTGATCACTGCAGCAAGATTAACTTTTGCTCAAAAGTGGAAAGATAAAGAAATCCCCGATGAAGATGAAGTATTAAAAAAGATTTGGACTTGCGCTGAGATGGATAAATTAACTTTGGAAATAAAAGATAAAGACGAAACAGAATTCTACAAAGTTTGGGATGAATTCTATCAATGGTGGATAAAAAGGAAGGATCTAGAATCAAACGATAGGAGGATTGGCAGAACGGATGAATAGAAATAGAAAATGTTGTATAAATATATATAAAACATGTACCTTGTGCCATAATATGTATGACAAACAGGATTGTCAGGACGATCACACCATGTCCAACGTTTTTAACAATTTATTCAATAAAAATTTTGTTTTAAAAAAAGACTATTTGCCAGGGTCAAATCTGACTTGTAAGAACTATTACTTTACCAAAAAGTAGCTATGGTGTTAGCATATCTAGCACTACTGGAGAGTTGGACTTGCTTACCTTAGGCTGAAAGCTTGTGATGAGTTTTGTTTCAGACGTTTAGCTAGGAAGAATTTGATAAGTGTTTTCATGAGGAATCATGTGGTTAGTATGGATTCAGAATGTAAATTTCCATGCTAAAGAAATAAATCTCTGTCTTTTTTTTACATACAATTCTAAACCGGAGGGTTTTTTCATTTTTTTTTAAAGTAAGCCATAGTGAACTGTCTTGTACTTAGTGCTATACCATAATGTAATGTGGCCATACTAAGCAAAATACAAACCAATTATATTACTGTGTGGTACGTATACAAAGCCAATGGCAGGAAAGTGTTAAGGCTTGAGAGCCTGTTGAGTTAATTTGTTAGAGACTTGTAACTGTAAAAATAAAAATTTGAGGTTTAAAAAATCCTGCATAAATAGAAAAGTCAGCTGCAAAATTCCTGCATACAAGTATGTATTTTTCTCTTACTTTTCCCTCTAATAGCTTTCAAATCTCTCTACTGTGTTAAAGTTGAAATACAGTTGATAACCTGAAGCTTTAGCAGTCAGGGGTGGGATTCAACCGGCGTTACTACCGATTCGGTGATTACATTTTGCATACAGATGCGCGCTTTGCACATATGCACACCTGACATGCACTGCGCATGTGTGTAAACTAACCTTAGGCTGTGCTGCCCGGACAGTTGAAAAGTGCTGCGCGCAGGTGTACAGCATTCGAAAAACCTCTTTTCCCCTGCTTTTTCAACCTCAGCTGTGCCGCGCAAAGTAGCTGAGGTTGAAAAAGCAGGAAATAAAGGACAGGTAAGAACCCAGGTGGGAGGGTGGGCCAAACAGCAGCAGACACAGAACTTGTTCAGTGTCTGCTGCTCTTCAGAGCTACTGGTTCTATAGAGCCAAGCAGAACCGGTAGCATCCCACCCCCATTAGCAGTGCTTCCAATAGCTGAATCAATCAAAGCCTCCCATGATTTCTAATATGAATCTTCTTGAATTTGTCATATTTTCTCTCTTAGCCTAATATGCCTGTACTTGGTTGTGAATCAAGAATGCAGCTAAGTCCTGTGTGATATGAAGATATTGTGAGTTTAGCTGACTTATGAAAATGTTTGTCATTTAGAATGACAAATGTTTCTTAATGATTGAGAATCTCTTTCCAGCCCTTTTACTAGTAAGAAGAAAAGAAAAGCAATCTTCCTTTTTTTTTTTTTAATTCAGTGGCAAAAAAAAATTTCTGATAATTCTAGCTGGAATAGGAGATTTGGAGGACTTTCAGTTTTTGTAGGAATTAATGTAGTTTCAGTGATTTTGTTGATTAACTCTTGCAATATGACCTGCAGTGTAAATAAAGTGTAAATAAATAAGAAAGTGTAAATAAAGCAGAAATTACAGTCTTGAGCAAGCTCTTCTCCGAAGGAA